AACACACCAGCAACACACCAGCAACACACTGACAACACACCAGCAACACACCAGCAACACACTGACAACACACCAGCAACACAGCAGCAACACAACAGCAACACATCAGCAACACACCATCAACACACCAGCAACACACCAGCAACACACCAGCAACACACTGACAACACACCAGCAACACACCAGCAACACACCAGCAACACACCACCACCACACTGACAACACACCAGCAACACACCACCACCACATTAACAACACACCAGCAACACACCAGAAACACACCAGCAACACACCACCACCACACTGACAACACACCAGCAACACACCAGAAACACACCAGCAACACACTGACAACACACCAGCAACACACCAGCAACACACCAGCAACATACCACCACCACACTGACAACACACCAGCAACACACCAGCAACACACCAGCAACACACCAGCAACATACCACCACACTGACAACACACCAGCAACACACCAGCAACACACCAGCAACACACCAGCAACACACCACCACCACACTGACAACACACCACCACCACACTGACAACACACCAGCAACACACCAGCAACATACCACCACACTGACAACACACCAGCAACATACCACCACACTGACAACACACCAGCAACACACCAGCAACATACCACCACACTGACAACACACCAGCAACACACCAGCAACACACCAGCAACACACCAGCAACACACCAGCAACACACCAGCAACACACCACCACACTGACAACACACCAGCAACACACCAGCAACACACCAGCAACACACAACCACCACACTGATACACACCACCACCACACTGACAACACACCACCACCACACTGACAACACACCACCACCACACTGACAACACACCAGCAACACACTGACAACACACCACCACCACACTGACAACACACCAGCAACACACCAGCAACACACTGACAACACACCAGCAACACACCAGCAACACACTGACAACACACCACCACCACACTGACAACACACCAGCAACACACCAGCAACACACTGACAACACACCACCACCACACTGACAACACACCAGCAACACACCAGCAACACACTGACAAAACACCACCACCACACTGAAAACACACCAGCAACACACCACCACCACACAGACAACACACCAGCAACACACCAGCAACACACCAGCAACATACCACCACCACACAGACAACACACCAGCAACACACCAGCAACACACCAGCAACACACCAGCAACACACCACCACCACACTGACAACACACCAGCAACACACCACCACACTGAAAACACACCAGCAACACATCAGCAACACACCAGCAACACACCAGCAACATACTTAAAACACACTAGCAAAACACCAGCAACATACTGAAAACACACCAGCAAAACACCAGCAACATACTGAAAACACACCAGCAAAACACCAGCAACATACTGAAAACACACCAGCAAAACGCCAGCAACATACTGAAAACACACCAGCAAAACACCAGCAACACACTGACAACACACCAGCAACACACCAGCAACACACCAGCAACACACCAGCAACACATCAGCAACACACCAGCAAAACACCAGCAACCCACCAGCAACACACCACCACCACACTGACAACACACCACCACCACACCACCACCATGCCAGCAACACACCAGCAACACACCACAAAACACCGGATACACACTCACCACCACCAACACGAAACTACCCGCTACATGACTACTAAACTTGGTACTTCGTGGAAATGAGGAGGGACGTCCGTCTTAGTGGGAAAGTTTAGTGGTTCACTTTTAAAATCCTCTGTTCAAACACAACTATCTTCGGCCCTTCCCTCCACATTTTTCTTTCACACCCAAAATTTTTAAGTCCACACCCAGAAAATTTTCGTTCACTCACAATCAACTTCTTATCGTACACAAAACGTGTATTGCTTTTGTTTGTAATATTGTATTGGGCAAAACAAACTGCTCAGAGTTGACTAAAGGGGAATCTCTCTCTATATTTGATGAAAACCCCCACTTAATTAATGAATCATTGTCTTTACAGGAGTAGCGCATGTTGATAGAATACTGTAGACAGGCAGACTCACAGGCAATATAATATAATATATCTATATATCTATATATCTATCTATCTATATATCTATCTATCATATATATATATATATATATATATATATATATATATATATATATATATATATATATATATATATATATATATATATGTATATGTATATGTATATATATATATATATATATATATATATATATATATATATATATATATATATATGTATATGTATATATATATATATATATATATATATATATATGTACATATATATATATATATATATATATATATATATATATATATATATATATATATATATATATATATATATATATATATATATATATATATATATATATATAGATATATATATAGATATATAGATATATATATATATAACCTGTGACAATATCCTTACAAAATGTTTTACATTCCTTCGTTTGAAAAAGCTTATAATAAAAAAAGTTTTCAAATATACCACAGAGCTGGCTATAGCTATGTGTCTTCAAAGTATGTGTAGATCAAAGTCCGGGAATTTCCAGTCTTTTGGCTACCGGATGCCGGGTATCTAAAGATATTCTGATATAGTCCTAAGGAGTGTTTGGTAGAACCTACGTCAAAGTTATGCGGCCATGTAAAACTTAAGTTTATTGGAAATCGGCTAATTATAGCCATCGACTAATTATTCCTCCCCCTTGGGCGCTAAAAATAGAAATTGATGTAATGTTTGCGGAAAGTATCGTTGTATTGCAGATGAAACAGAACATTGAGTGATGTGTTCAAAGGGGTGTTATTTGGGTCTACGAATGTTAGTGTTCCTTAAAGATATTGTATTACATCTTTATCAAAATGCAAACAGCCATTATGATGTCATATGTTCCTCTTGGGTAATGGGTGATGGTTGGGTAGGTTTGTGAGTTGGTGGTGTATGGTGATGTGAACTTTGTTGCAGTAGCGTAGCGAGGGGGGGGGGACATATGTCCCCGGGCGCCGACCTTAGGGGGCGCCAAAATGGGTTGGAAAAATAAATTGAAAGGAGGTTGAGGGGGGTGCAAATCGAAAGTTTGAGGGGGGTGGGTGAAAATCGAAAAGTTTGTCCCCGGGCGCCGGGAAGGGTCGCTACGCCTCTGCTTTGTTGACGTGTGATGATCTGAACTTTGTTGATGTGTGGTGGTCTTGTTTTTGTTGATGTGTGGTGATCTTGATTTTGTTGATGTGTGGTGGTCTAGATTTTGTTGATGTGTGGTGGTCTTGTTTTTGTTGATGTGTGGTGATCTAGATTTTGTTGATGTGTGTTGAAGTGAACTTTGTTGAGTGTGTACGTCAATGTAATGTACGGCTATCAGCAAAATGAAATTGGTATGTGCGGCTTCAGTCCAAGATTAGCACGAGAGATATGTCTGGCGATTGGACTTTATGGTGCCAAGGTGGCACTTGATCAAACATCTATTTTATTGTTAGACAACAAATCAGTCAAATATCCATTCTATTGTTAGCCAAACGTCATTCATTAAAAGCATGCTCACATGATTTTATTTAGTAGAAATAACAAAGGACAACCTGTGTTTATAATCTGAGAAGCAAATAATTTTCGACATTTTTGTGTTTTCATTCATTTGAAGCGAGAAGCGAACCGGGAAACAAAGAGTCAACATCCGATGGGTTAAGCCAAACAATTTGTCTATCCTCTCTCAGTAGGAGGTAACGGGAACTCAGACCGTAGAACTATCACATTAGGGAACTCAGACCGTTGAACTATCACAACCTTGGTGCTGATAGCGGAAGTCAGGATGTCGCAATACCTCAGCGGAAGATTCAGACACACTGCTATTATCTCTGAGGTTCTGGTGCGACTTTCATGTGATTGGATGTTTGGTCTGGTCTTGGCAACATCGTAATCAGCCTCGCCACTTGTGTTTTGTCGTGTCAGCTTCTCGAAAACCCCATTCAGATCAACTCATATGTGTACCATGTTGGGCCTTTTCGTCGTTTTACTTGCCGCTAGCTCGTGGGAATTCCCTTCCTTGTACTATAAATAGCACGGAATACCCGCAGAAAAGCTTGACCGAGATAAAAGCCGCATGAATTACGTCGGAAAACACAAAGATCGTAATGAGGAAGTTTAGGGGTCGTGACAAGCTTTCCAGCAGGGACAACTATAGCTGCGGTGACGCCCCACCCCTCGGGGCTGTGTTGATATCCCCCCACCCCCCACCGGTACTCAGGGCAGACGAACTACATTACATAAGACCAATACAATTTTTAGTTCTTAAAGTTGGTTCCTTTAGAAAAAAAAATCCTCCACCTTTTCCAGGTGAAAAACTTCACCTGTTCTTCCCTTCAGGAGAAACTTTTTTCTTTCTGTGATAAATGGTCTGAATTTAGTCATGTTGAAATAACTGTGGCCTTACTTTTATGTTATTAATTTCATTGTTATCTCCCTTGTAATAAAACTGTCAACGTACCCTAAAGTGTAACCTTGGTAAGGCGCTTTTTGTGCAACTTGTGTATGACGCTTTTGGTTGCAACTTACAGCTGTGTATAGCATGCATGCTAAGCGTTTGCAATCTTTGTTCTACAAATTTAAAACATTAAATAATACTGTAATTATAAGCATCTCGCCAACCTTTCTACAACCTTTTAAACACTGATAACACTCAAATCCCCATGCATTTGCCCCCCCCCCCCCTACTACCACTGTGACATCTCTGAACATCCCCGCTAGTTATCTAAGAAGGTTTTCACTAATGAAAACAAACAGTATGTTTTAATGAGGGGTGATGGAGGGGGGGGGGAGAATCTTCAAGATCCGGCTTACACTTATGTCGCGCGCGGGAAATACGAGGATGTTGTTTCACTTGATTTCTGCTACACGGGTCATTTAACCCATGTGGGTCTACGTGGATGTACACTTTGCTTTACTGGATAGTTACAGAGCTGCTTCATGTGTTATGCTTACATTGTGTAAGTATTGATTACATTGTTTAAGTATTGCCCGGTATATTTTCTATTTAGTCGGTGTGTTCAGTTTTTCAGATGACTTGTTTCGAAAAATTAAAAAGTTAAAACTGTTAAATTTGTATGGCCACATATTCAAAGCTTGCACAAACGGACAACAACTGCGTCAACCCGACCCGATGAAAAGAATTACCGTTTGGTCTTTGACGGGATTAGAATTACTGCCCCTGATTTTGAATTACTGCCCCTGATTTTGACTTCCACACGAAATCAATGCTATTATTCGGATCAGTGAAGTGGAACGGCAGAACGCAGACGGCGTGTTATGATTACATAACAACTCAGCTAATGTCGTATTGACGGGTCCCTCCCATCCCGGACCACGCCACGATAAGGGAAATCTAAAAATAGCTATCCGAAAGGGGAATCCCCCCTGTCAAACAGCCGTGGTATACCTGGCGCCTGGGCCTGTGGCTGTATCAGTCTGAAAAATCTGGCCATACCTACTGGGCAGGTTTCTTACCTCAGCCCGCCCAAACTTGTAACCGCCATACACAACTTAGCAGACGATTGGTCCTACAGAGCTGACCTACCAGGGACGCTGCAAGATTCATTAACAGTTGCACACGCTTCATCTGTCCAGCTAGCTCTCAGTAAACTTCTACCTCACAACACAAGCAAGGATTACGTGATGAATTGATTCTATGGAGCTAATCAGTACAGGATTTATACATTTTAGACCTTGTTAGCAAACACGAACACATTTTGGTGGGATTATTTTGCTGACGTCATTGTAATTAATCTCATCACCTTGGATTGGCACCGGCGCCGGTCTAATCACATAATTAAACAGGCCTAATTAACGATTTTTGAAACATAGTTTGTGATTAAGAAAAGAGTAAGGATGTTTTTTTAAATAAAATAATTAACTTGTTCTAACTGGTCATTAGAGACCCATCAACGTTAGTGTAATTAGTTCTTTAGTTGTTATATCTCATGCTGTTTACTGTCGTATGCTGTTTACTGTCGTATGCTGCTTACTGTCGTATGCTGTTTGCTATTGTATGCGGTTTATTATCGTATGCTGTTTAATGACCTAGTCATCGCTCGACCACAAACAGCGACTAAATGATGGAAAGAGCGACCAAATAATGACTAAATTGTCGGTAGATTTAGCACGACTAAAATCAGTATAGTTCTATTTTGGAGTTGCCATTTGTAGTTTAGAGAGAAAGCCAGAAATTCAACATCCACAAAGCTTTTAGGCAGACTTGCGTTTTTCAATCATATTCTGGCTTTATTCAAATTTGTAAACCATATTCTAGTAATTTTCAATTATTTTAATATTTTTTGTTGTGTGTTTCGAATATTGCAATCATATTCTAGTTAGTTTTAAAACATTTCAGTCATATTCTGGTACCTTTCAAATATTTCAGTCATACTCTGGTCCTTCAAATATTTCAGTCATATTCTGCTACATTTCAAATATTTCAGCCATATCCTGGTACATTTCAAATATTTCAGTCATATTCTGGTACCTTTTAAACGCTATAAAAAAGTGTTCCCAAAAATACCAATGTTGTACCAATGTTGTACCAATTTTGTACCAATGTTGTACCAATGTTGAACCAATATTGTACCAATGTTGAACCAATGCTGTACCAATGTTGAACCAATGTTGTACCAATGGTAACACAATTCCCACTCCACGTGGCGTAACGTGTTTAAAATGTCACCAGCTTTATCATTCACGTCTGCCACTTCCACCATCTAGGCTTGAAATTTCCCGGGAGAAATATTTCCCTGTTTCCCTAGGATAAAGTCAACACAACACACCAGATTCCATCGGTTGCTGTTTGTGTTCAACACAACTTGACCTACTCACGGGGTCAAGGATCAAAACTATTGACCTGCTTTTATATTGCTACACTTAGTGATATAAACACAATTCTATTTTTAAAAAGTATTTTTTTTAATGTAATGCGTCCTTTTTTTTTTTAAAAAAAAAATTTGCTATGGTAGGTTTCTTGTAAACATTTATAATCACACTATTTATAATAAATATATTGTTATCAACAAGATTCTAAATGCAATTAAATGAGCAAATGAGATTATATGTATATCAGAAAAGTAAAATTGATTGTAGATTTTAGAATTGTTTTCAAAAACGTTTTAGCGACAACGGTTTTACAATATCATTAGAGCTTAAGTCAACATATGTTCATCTTATTTTCTTTACTTTTTAACATCTTGTAAACTAAACATAAACATTTCCATTCTAGTCCTTTTTCTATATTTTAGCATCCAGGACTATATAAAATAATATCTCAGTATTTACATTCTAGAAGACCGTGTAATATTAACCTAAAACGGTTGTTCGTTAAAACTGTTTTGGAAATGTTTCTGTTCTTAGTTTTAACATTTTGAAATCGTACAAATTATAATTTGTCAATTTGCTGGTTTAAGTTTGAACTGACTTCATAAAACCAAGTCATTGTTTGCCAAATATGCTTTCTAACGTATCAAATGATATTTTCTCTAATCTAGGTATGTTAACTATCTAATCTGTGTATCTTAAATTTCCTTTCGGGTAATTTACTAGTTAATCGAGTAATTTACTAGTTAATCAATGAAGAAAAATAATTTATCTACAGTTATTGTACAATAGTGTATAGCATAAAATGTGCATTCAAATTTTAAATTTACTGAACCAAAGAAAAAAAATTAAATTATAAATTTTAGAACTAAACTGACGTGAAAAACCAATCTTTATCCCACAGCTTGTTTAAAGCCAATTGTATGAACATATGAGATTACAAACTGTATGAAAACAGTTAACAGATTACCCTTATATGAATTTACAAATGTTAGTTTACAACCAACGTCTTTATACTACAATAATGCGAGTCGGTTGTGTTTGGTTTTGTACAGCTTTTGTTGCCTATGTTTTTACCAGTTGTGTTTTCTTAGTTAACTTTTGTCTGATCTCTCCAGTTGACCTTTTGTGTAACGTTTGTCTGACCTTGACCTTGTGTTTCAGGTGCAAGTGCTGACCCCATCCAACGCGCCAGAGTGTTCTAGAAGCCAGACGATGGAGCTGGGCTACTCTATGCCCGTCCGGTACGATCAAACACGTTTTGTGAGTACTCACTTTATTTCATACTCACGTCAAACTATAGACACGTTTTGTGAGTACTCACTTTATTTCATGCTCACGTCAAACTATAGACACGTTTTGTGAGTACTCACTTTATTTCATGCTCACGTCCCACTATAGACACGTTTTGTGAGTACTCACTTTATTTCATGCTCACGTCAAACTATAGACACGTTTTTTGAGTACTCACTTTATTTCATGCTCACGTCAAACTATAGACACGTTTTGTGAGTACTCACTTTATTTCATGCTCACGTCAAACTATAGACCCGTTTTGTGAGTACTGACTTTATTTCATGCTCAGTTCCAACTATAGACTGACGTCACAACAGCAGTTTCCTCTAATTGACATGGTCACAGACAGACAAACCGACAAACACACGTTTTAACAAGATAAGGTCAACAACCATAAGATGATGTGACAACCATGTAATGAAAGATCTGTAGGCTACACCATGTCCTATGTAAGGACATAATGCACATGATGTCCCATGTAAGGACATATACGCACATTATATCCAATTTAACGACAGATACGCAGAAGATGTCAGCCACAAAAGGCAATATTAAAATCAATAACCGATAATTGCTAAAATTTAAAAGTTATAAGCTAAATAAATTCATTTTCAAATGCAAAAAAGCTACTTTTTTTCAAAACTTTTAGAAGACAATTCAATGGCAAATTTTAAACATCATGCAATCATACTGTTAACATCATTCATTCAACCAATTGACATAATTCAATCATCCTCTTGACATCATTCAATAAATGTACTGACATCAACATCATTCATTCAACCAATTGACAACATTCAATATGAAAAAAAAAATGTTTTGTGGATTTTTCTGAACAATTTTATTGGTAAAAATTAATAACTCTTAAAGTCAAAATTTGTCATCGAAATTCAAGAAAATAGGTCCAACTTTTGTTATTTGCTTCATTGCAACAAAATATCGACAATTATTTAGGATCTGTTAAAAATGATAGGTTCTAGTTAACTAATTTACTGATTACATTGATTGCATGATATCAATATCGTAAATAGACGAGTATCTCCGAATGTTTGTTTTATAGAGGGATGGAAAACTCACACAAAGGGAAAAAACGTCGGTGGGATGGAGGGGGCGTGGTTTGGTGAGTAGAGGTGCTAGACCAGTCCACCCCCCCCCCCCCCCCACTATACAAATTGCCTTAACAGATGTCATTGCTATAGATCGCTATAGAAAACAGCCCACCACTACAAAACTCCCCACTTCATAGTTTACACCGAATTACGCAAAAGTAATTTTTCCAGGAATAAATCTATTTTTAAGTCGTTGACCTTGGTGGTGAGCAAAGTGAAAATCACGTGCGCTTTAGCTCAGACGGTGGATAGCCGTGGATATGGATCACTTTCTGTATCTTCATCCACTGGTGAGTGTGGGCTAGGTTACAATAGGTTCACCCTAGGTTTACGTTAGGTTCACGCTAGGTTTACTTTAGGTTTAAGTTACTCATGCTAAGACTACGCTACGTTCACCCTGTTCACGTTAGGTTAAGGTTAGGTTTAAACTATGTTCACGCTAGGTTTACACTAGGTTCAAGTTAGACTCATGTTAAGTCTACTCATCGTTCACGTTAGGTTTAGGTTAGGTTTCATTTGGTTTATGTTAGGCTCAAACTTGGTTTATGTTAGGCTCAAGTTAGGTTCAAGCTAGCCTCAAGCAAAATTACGCTGCGCAAAACATCAAAAGTAAAACTAAATGCTGCCAACTTCGACCATTGCGTAGGTCTAGCTGTACCGGAAACACTTTTATACTCACGCTTAAAAAATAGCAAATTGTGTTTTGTTTCTGCATCTATAATTAGCACAATCTGAACGTCGTATGCTTCACTTAAATGTCGTCATCTCTTACATTTCACGTCAAATTATCCCTGCCAATGCAGGATCTCAGTGTCATTGCAAGGACTCTGGCACCATCGGGACCTCCCTGACCCTGTCACCCACAGCCCCCCCCCCCCACCTGACCCTGTCCCCCACAGGACCTCGGTGACCCTAATACCACAGGGTCCCTCTTACGCAGTCACCATGGGGTACCTCTGATACCACAGAGTCGGGTTTCCTTAGAACAGAAGCATGTAAAGCATCAGATCGCAACTTGGAAACCCTGTGTTTTGTAGTTAAACTAATCTAAAAATAGAGCGCCAATTTAGTTAAGTGTACACATTAAAAAAATAACAATATCAAATAAACACGACTACAACATCGACCTGAAAAATGTCACTATGACTGTATGCACAATAGAGACATTGATTTACCAGTAGTTTTATCATTGAGAAGCTTTTACGGAAATTTGTCATTGTAATGTTAACCTCGGTGGACACCAGCCGACGAGAAAACCTGCACGTTCATGTCCGCTCACTCTATAGTCCGAGTTGTTCATTAAACTAATGTTACTCATCCCCAGCCCCCTGTACTAGGTCAAGGTCAGGTGTGCATCAAGCAAGAGCCTGGACTCGACAACTACCACACCAATGACAGCTACAGCAACCTCTCGTGCCAGCAGATGGACGAACCCAAACGGTTTTTTCTCAAGGACAAGTCAGGTATGTGGTGAAATGTTTGTATTGTGGTTGACTTAATGTAACAAAAGTTTGGTAAAGTTTTATAGGATTGAAGCCACGTTTAATGGAACCGGATGTTTCGTAGAATTTGTTGCGTTTCTGTGTCAACTTTAAATCAGTCAATGACCCTAAACAAATGACAAGTGCAAATGTCATCTTTGTGCTAAAAAACAAAGACAACAAACATCAATGTCAGCACGATATGTCACCTAAATTTTTAACTTGACATCAACTAAAATTTCACCCACCCAACCCAACCCCACCCAATAAAACCTGACGCATGTTGACCTTGACCCCACAGTTCTGAGCGAGTGTGAGCTGAGTAGCTGGATCAACACTCACCCCAAACACTGGACCAAAAAGGAAGTCTTGGACTGGATCTTCTCAGTGGTCGAGACGGTAGGTCATGGTCATTTTTTTAAATCTCAGCATAAGTGGACTGGTCATTTTTTATCTCATTACAATGCTTAAAAAAATTGGCCCTTTCTCGCGACGCTGCTATCAAGCCTATTTTGTTTGTTCTCGATATCCCATTTTTTAGTCCCGTCCCATCTTTTTATTTTCTTAGTATTTTAAATCCCTCAAACAGAGATAACTCTTTATGATCTCGGTTTGTTATAGCTACACCATACAGAGGTTTCAACCACATCGCATGTTTATATCAATAACGTCAATTCGAAAACACTCCAATTCTAACCTTTTAGAATCGGGGCAGTTTTACCTATTCATAATCAACATAGTTTCTCGTTCGTGCCCAAGACACATGGGGCAGATGAAGTAGAGTTCGACTGCTTCAGAGACCTCGGCATATAAAATGATAGTTGTACCAATAGTGTCCCACTACTGCGGCCCATCAGTAGCTGCAGAGTCGGTCTGTCATAAAGTCACCCTCTAGCCATGAAAATCTTCTGCTGTCTTTTCTTAAATCATCAATTCTCAAGTTGAACCGTATTTTGAAGCTAACATGACTTACAAATGACCACTGTCCACTCTAGGACCAGCTGGACGGGTCACGTGTCCAGGGCGAGGCCTATCGAGACCTGACCGGTCAGGCGCTCTACCAGATGTCCAGGGAAGACTTTGAGAGCGTTGACCCCTTGTACGGCAGCCGGATGTACGAGACCTTCAGGAACCTGGTGAAAAATAGTGAGTACTCTAGGACCGCTCACACTAGGGTAAGGGAGGGGCCAGGGGGGAGAGGGGGCAGGTGGCGGGGAGAGGGGGCTCGGGAAGGTGGTTAAAAGTGGGGATAGTGAGGGTGGGGGACAGAGGGGCTCGCATTGTAGGGGAACCGGATGGCTCGGAAAGGTGGGGGAGGGTTGGGGGGGGGGGGTCTCGTGAGAGTGGTTGCACACGCAAGAGCGGGTTGGCTCAGCTAATTGGGCAAAAAGTAACAGCAAATTTTTAAGTTTTTGGGCTTTTTGTGAAAACGACAGGTTTGTCTAGAACATTCCAGTTGTATCGACTGGTGTGAAAGATCTAGCCTAACACTTAGTCTAACGCCACAAACAGGAAAATAATTATTTACATTTAATCATTTCCTCTGGTGCAGTGTTTATTTTTCAATGTATCGGTGAAATCAACATTCAATCTTAACTGGTTCTTGGTGTTTCTTTCTTCCTCGTTCACCAAAACACGTGCACAATAATACCTTTCATCTTCCTTGTTGGCTCCACCCCAACCCCCAGACAACCCGTTTCCCTTCCCCCACCCAACCCCACCCCCAGACAACCCGTTTCCCTTCCCCCACCCAACCCCACTCATGCATCCAAACCTTATCTAGTCCCTACCCCACCCTTCCCCACCCTCTAAACAACCTACCAGCATGCCTCTGCTCATCTGACCCACACATCCTGCCCCTCTCTCCCCCCCCCCCCCCCCATCGCTGAGGATAACTGTCCTGATATTCACCACCATCCCCCCACAACCAGACGTTATCTGACCCCCCCCCCCCACACCCCTAAGTCCGACCCACATCCTGTCCCACCCAATACACCCCCACCCCACCCCAGTGTTCACCTATCTGCCTACCTTCCCGGAGAAGCAGAATGTTTGCGGCCCCCCAAAAAAGGACCCACCTATTTACTTCCTTCTTTCAAAAAACCGTCTCATTTTTTCGCCAAACTCCGTTTAAAATGTACAAAAATCAAGTTCAAATCTTGTGCAAATAGGGAACTAAATGTGCCATTCATTATCTAAGTTTGTTTGATTATGCGTGCAATGAAAACATCCGCTGTTGTACTATATATAAAAACCTAGTCAGTTTATATCTAAACAAAAATCTTCGAATTTGTGTTCGTCTTGCAGCTGAATTATCCCAAATTAAATTCTGAAAACTAGGTAAAGTATACGATTATATCTCGGCATTATTTTAATTATAGTTTACAGATTTACAGAAGACGCTTTCTTTTATTCTTTCGTTCTATTTGTGTTTTACTACATTTTAGACATGTTTTGCCGGATTTTATCGTTTCGATTTTGTTTTAAATATACGCTTTGGTGCAACTTTTATTTTTTATCTAACCTCCATGTGTATGTTACTGGGACATGTTCCTGTTAAACATGGAACATGTTGACTGGCACATGTCGCTGGTAGACATGGAACATGTTGCAAACATATGTTGCTACTTAACTAGGAACACGTGGACTGGCACATGTAGCTAGTTAACACATGGAACATGTTGACTTGCACATGTCACTGGTACACATGTCACTTTGGTGATGACATCTCATGACATCTTGTCAATATTTCAGTCAACTTCGAGAAACCTGTCCACGTGACCGGTGACCAGAGCCTGGACAACTTCAACCAGATCAACAGCGACATCAACAACAACATCAGCAAGGACATCGGCGACCGCATCTTTGGGAGGTCAAGCTGTGCCCACAGGTCGGAGGGGGTCGATTCAGATGGTAGGTCCCGACAGCATTAGGTCATTTAGGTCCCCACAGCCTTAGGTCATTTAGGTCCCTGGCTATCATATGTCACGTAGGTCACTGGCATTACTAGGTCATACTGGTCCAAAGCATCCTAAGATTCTTTAAATCAGATCGCGTAGGTTCTTGACATCTTTAGGTCATGTATGTCATGATATCAAGACATGTCACATAGCAAGCTGCTGTCAGTGCACGATGTTGTTGTCAGTATACTATGGCAGTGATTGGTTTCCCGTGTTGTTGTCAGTACGGGATGGTAATCAAACACAGGTAGTTGTACCTGCCACCTACCTGACCTGTCGTCACGCCTCAGTTGATGAGCTGCTCCAACACACGCCCTCCGGCCACACGCTGGCCAGGTGAACACACGATTCATCTTCTCACCTTGTTCTAGAGAGTTAGTACATGTGTATATCGGTTGTGTGTGTGTGCGTGTACTAGTATGTTTGTGTTGTGTATGGGAGTGGGGAATGATCCATGTTACAAAAACCATATTTTATCACCTCAAAATTTTGTATTATATCTCAACACCATCCAGCAAAACACCACTAAAATTTTGTGTTTAACTCGCCTACAACATGATGGCCACAACTTATTTATGAAATTATCGACATTTTATTCAAGCACCAAAATGTGCCTTTCTTAGACCGTTGATTGTCTTCTGCAGGTCTCAGAGTAATTCAAACCGGAAATGACGTAACGGTGGAGATCCCGTCCATGGGATTGTACTCCATCTCCCCCGACATCGAGTTCCCGTTCTCCTCCAAGTCCCTCTCCTTCATGACCCCTCCCTCCCCCTGCTCCAGCCACCACCCCTCCTCCTTAAACTCCTCCCTCAATTCTTCCATGTCGTCCTCACACCACCCCTCCCACCATCCCTCACACCACCCCTCACACCACCCCACAGACCCAGCCTTCAGACACAGCAGCTACAGAACCTCCCCCCTCAACATCCCCCTCTCCGTCCAGTCCCCTCCACCCAGGTCATCCTCCTCCTCCTCCTACCATCACGTGATCGACGACCGTGATTCCGGCTGTTCCAGTGATGGTAAGGACAGCCTGTCATAAGTAGACAATAGATGGTGTGGGTTCGAGTCTATCTGTCTCTAAGTCCTTTTCAATAAATGGTTTATCATATTAGAACGGCTAGGAGGTATATTAAGTACCTATGTTTTCCTTAGCGTTTAATAGAACTACGAACCAACATTGCTATTTCATTAAAGTATCACTATGTTTTATTGTTAAAGTATAAAAAGAAAAAAAATCAACAAACTTTTTTTTATAATTATATGTAATGTTTATAGTGTGTAGTAATGGCCAATAGCTTTTGATTTTTTTAAATCATGAATGTCTCCAGATTCAATGACAAGACAGCCTACTTTCATGACGTCATCATTAATGGACATGGACGAGTCATCAAGGCTGAGTCCAGATCTGTGTGACGTCATGGTGTCCAGCTCTCGGGGGTTGAAAAAAGGCAGACACAATGCCAGTAAGCAACAGACGTATTGAAGTCTGGCATTTCACTCTCGACTTTTTAACACGACATGTTAGCACCAAACATTTTAGCACTAGCCATTTTTAGCACTAGACATTTTAGAGCTAGACATTTTAGCACCAGCCATTAGCACACAAGCTGTTACATATTTCACACACTGAACTCATAAAACTCACATGTTTAATACGTTGAACTCATGTTTTGTTTACCCCAGCCAAGAACGGGAACCACTTGTGGGAATTTGTTCGGGATCTGCTGAGGGACCCAAAAACCAACCCGAAACTTTTGAAGTGGGAGGATCATGAGGTGAGATTTTCTCAGGGTGGGAGGATCATGAGATGAGATTTTCTCAGGGTGGGAGAATCATGAGGTGAGATTTTCTCAGGGTGGGAGGATCATGAGGTGAGATTTGGTCAGGGTGGGAGAATCATGAGGTGAGATTTTCTCAGGGTGGGAGGGTCATGAGATGAGATTTTCTCAGGTTTCTTGTTGGTCAAGATTCCTTGTCATCCCACGGGTACAAACTGGTGCCACGGGACTTTGGTCGGGACATTGGTACTAGCTAGCGGGACATTGGTACTACCAAGAGGGACATTGGTACTACCAAGAGGGACATTGGTACTACCAAGAGGGACATTGGTACTACCTAGAGGGACATTGGTACTAGCAAGAGGGACATTGGTACTACCAAGAGGGACATTGGTACTACCAAGAGGGACATTGGTACTACCAAGAGGGACATTGGTACTACCTAGAGGGACATTGGTACTAGCAAGAGGGACATTGGTACTACCAAGAGGGACATTGGTACTACCAAGAGGGACATTGGTACTATCAAACTGCCAATGTCCGATTATAAACTTTTCTGAAAATAGTTGTGTTAGGTTGTGAGCATTATTATAATCTCAATAATCAGTGTTAGGGGCAGAAATTAGGGTTAGGGTTATGGTAGAACTTGAATTAGAGCTGAGTTAGCATTGGGTTACCAAGACATACTAGCAATTTAACACCCTTTTTATGCAAGATTTTATATTATGTCATTATCGGATTCTGGTTAATTGTTGCCATGGTAACCATGTGGTCTGGTGTCGCCCACAGAACGGCGTGTTCCGGTTCGTCCAGTCCGAGGCTGTAGCGAGGCTGTGGGGAGAGAAGAAGAACAACCCTCTGATGACGTATGAGAAACTCAGTCGGGCCATGAGGTGGGTTTCACACCGTGCGGTGTTTGTTGTTTAAATTTAGTGCAGTATCAGTCACCCACACCCTAAGAATAATTTTAAAAAACCTACAATTTTACAATCTACACATCTATGAACGAACGTACCTTTAAAAATTCACTAAGATATATTTCTATAGTGAAGCGAAATATTTTTATAACGTTTAAACATTAAATAATTTTTAGGTGCCAATGGTACCAAACTAAATATAAAAGTTGTATGGTGTATGAAGTATAGAAACAAGGCCCGTAGTGTGAAAATAATGACATTTGAAGAATGTAAGAAATCTAAGTTATTCACTCAGAACACAAGGAGAGGGGGTGAGGATCCAGTACCGTTCTTCACTACAAGCAAACATGGTGTTATGTGAACTGAAATTAAAACGGGACGCATGGGTCGTATGCTGTGTGGGGGGGGGGGGGGGGGTACTAACATTCCATAAAACACAAATAAGCATTAGATAAGTTTTTGTAGAAGACTACGGGTGCAATTGGAAGTTTTAAAAGGTCACTAGATAAGAATGATTAGGGGGGGGGGATTGTTTAATGGGGAGGGAGGGTGTGGGTGGGTGGTAAGCCAAAACTAAATTATACCTTGAGTCAGCTATCTGCATGTCACGTAGGACTGGCCCAAGGTGTTCCCAGAAATTGGGGACCCTCTAAGTGTTTCTTTATCAGTGGGTACCCTGACCTCAGGCATGCCATTGTCTTCATTTAGGGTTCGGTGTATTAGATCTCTGATTAGCGTGTATTAGATCTCTGATTAGCGTGTATTACTTCTCTGATTAGCGTGTATTAGGTCTCTGATTAGCGTGTATTACTTCTCTGATTAGCGTGTATTACATCTCTGATTAGCGTGTATTACTTCTCTGATTAGCGTGTATTACTTCTCTGATTAGCGTGTATTAGATCTCTGATTAGCGTGTATTACTTCTCTGATTAGCGTGTATTAGATCTCTGATTAGCGTGTATTACTTCTCTGATTAGCGTGTATTACTTCTCTGATTAGCGTGTATTACTTCTCTGATTGGCGTGTATTAGATCTCTGATTAGCGTGTATTACATCTCTGATTAGCGTGTATTACATCTCTGATTAGCGTGTATTACACATTTGATTTTGTAATCAGTTGTTAGCTGCAGCTAAGCCATCGAATATTGGAGAATGGTACAAACTGTAGAAACACGACGGGTGTTATACATTGGTGTAAACATTGACACAATAGTGCAACCATTGGCACATTAGTGGAACCATTGGCACATTAGTGCAACCATTGGCACATTAGTGCAACCATTGGCACATTAGTGCAACCATTGGCACAATAGTGCTATTATTGGCACATTAGTGCAACCATTGGCACAATAGTGCTATTATTGGCACATTAGTGCAACCATTGGCACAATAGTGCAACCATTGGCACATTAGTGCTATTATTGGCACATTAGTGCAACCATTGGCACAATAGTGCAACCATTGGCACATTAGTGCAACTATTGGCACATTAGTGCAACCATTGGCACTTTAGTGCAACCATTGGCACATTAGTGCAACCATTTTTAGATACAACTTGAAAAAGTTGTGCTGTGAACTCTGACCCCCACGTCATGCCACCTCCCTCCCCGGGCCAAATGAGTTTGTACACTCCTGTGACAGAGAGCATCAGCCGCGCTTTGTTGATGGTCAACATCTTGACGTGGTCTCTAATTGGACAAGGCCGCCATTACGGCCGTAGCCTCGGTGTCATAGCGAGATGACGTTGCTTGCAAGGGCCGACAACTCGAGTCATTCATCTCTATAATCGACTGTCAGACCAGACCTATCAAACACACGGTAATGACCGGTCGAGTTAGCCGGATCAGAGCCGGTTGATCTGCGCGGATAATTGATTGGGAATTGACACCCCCTCGTCGGTCTGTTTTCCCGGGGGCTGAGGGCCGGTTAGCCGTACACAACCAACGAATGACAGCGTCAATGGTATGACTGATTGCTCTGATCCAAGTGACCCCCCTACCCCCCCTACCCCCTAGTTGATCACAGTGGCTTCTAACAGCTGCCCCCCCCCCCCTCCTGTCCACACCTTCTTTACATTCATCTCAGATATTGACACTTTAATAGTCTAATAATTTATAGTACTCCCCCTAATTAGTTCTTAATTAATGTTATATTTTATTTTTAAAAATGTGTTCATTTTGTTTACTTTACTATAAGATGAACAGATACAATATGAAACCAGAGAACTTGTTATACTATATTTGGGTTTGAAGTACTAAAACCCAAGAAACAGATGGGGCAGCCATAACTATATCATTCATATGATTCACAATCCTAATATTATCATCATTTTGACAATTGGAATTGAACAAAATATTGGAAACAAAAATTTCTATCCCATAATTCCCATCTCATTTCACCCACAGGTTCTGTCGGACTGCCGGCTACTTCGAGACCGTACCTAAGAATGGAAAGTTCCCGAAGAAACTTTGCTTCATGTTTGGCAGCCGAGCGCACGGGTGGAAGGACTAGAAACTTAACCATTCGCCTACTTGACACCCGCTGAAATCTTGACAACTGACCAATTTTTGCCACTCCGAAATTCTGAACCACCAAAATATTTCAGCATGCAATAGAATCTTGGCAAATGCACTAGAATCTTGGCATATGCACTAGAATCTTGGTATATGCACTAGAATCTTGGCATGATTCTGTCGTTCAATGAAAACTTGGCAACAGTTTCTCAGTGACAAGTTGTGATGCCTACGATGGTTACAGTTCCCACAATTCAGCGTTTGTACATACGAGCACACCTGTTTTGTTTACAGTTCACAGCAGCACGAGGCCTATAAATAGAAACACGCATGGACTTATTTCTCTTTTCACACACATTTCAAACTTAATCTCCGTGATGTAACGTGGGTTAGACATAGCCTACGTTCAACTTGATACAACTCTCATTTACTCAAATCTTTTCTGATGGTACATCGTGCTTCGAGTCAAGGGTTCTAAAACTGCTTTGTTTGATGGTACATCGTGCTTCGAGTCAAGGGTTCTAAAACTGCTTTGTTTGATGGTACATCGTGCTTCGAGTCAAGGGTTCTAAAACTGCTTTGTTTGATGGTACATCGTGCTTCGAGTCAAGGGTTCTAAAACTGCTTTGTTTGATGGTACATCGTGCTTCGAGTCAAAGGTTCTAAAACTGCTTTGTTTGATGGTACATTGTGCCTGCCTCAGGTTAAAGGTTCTAAAACTGTGGGTGAGATGAAGCGATCTAAAAGTATTTTGTTTTGGAACTACGTTGGAATGATCATCTTTTTACTGAAGTCTGCTTGAAGCATGATCTAACAATCTGGTCTGACCTGGTTTAGAACCCACGCTAATTTAGCTTTGGTTGGTGGTCGAAAACAAAAAACCTAAACTCCCCATCAACACATTGTGTATTCGAGTTCGTCACGAAAAGTTCGACGTTTGACACCCTACCTAAACACAGCATGAAGAAATGAACGACCTGCGGACACGCTCCATTGCCTTAAATATTTTCATCTGACACTCAAGAGATCTTGTTGATTTGGTGTTGTCCAGTAAGTCACATGACCCGTCACGTACAGTACAGTACAGTACAGTACAGTACAGAAAAGTACAGCACAGCTATTTGAATTTCACATGTTTTTATTCTTGCATTTCACATTTTACGCTTTTTTGTTTGAACTAAAAATGTGTTTTAATTTTTGAGGGGGAATCTTCACCATGTGGCCAGATGTTCACCCAGTGGCCCAGATGTTCACTCAGTGGCCCATATATTCACCAGCTGGGTTGGTCAATGTGGCCAAATATTCACCCAGTGGCCCAGATGGTCACTCAGTGGCCCAGATGTTCACAAGCTGGGTTGGCCCATGTGGCCAGATGGTCACCCAGTGGCCCAGATGTTCACAAGCTGGGTTGGTCAATGTGGCCAAATATTCACTCAGTGACCCAGATGTTCACTCAGTGGCCCAGATGTTTAATCAGTGGCCCATATCTTCACAAGCTGGGTTGGTAAATGTGGCCAGAAGTTTAACCAGTGGCCCATATCTTACACAGTGGCTAGTTGGTATTATTTAGGCCATTTCACCAGAGTTAGTGGCCGTTATTTAAAGCAGTGACCAGTTGGTCACACAAAGGCCAACTAATTAAAAACAATATGGCCAGAAAAACTAGAATCAGAAAACGCTGGCCAACCTTCATTAGACAAATGTTTTCATCAACTAAAATAAAGCCGTGAAATTGTGAAACCAACCCAGCTGTGTTCGACAGCTCAGCTATAAATAGATTACACGTGTAGCTTATAATGTAACGTTTCACAAAATGTATCTTTATTTAATGCTTTTCATGTATATGTAATGTTAGAAAAAAATCACCGGTAATGGTCAAAACCCCGAAAGAGTTTTTGTTGTCGTATTTCAGCATTTGTTGGATGTATTCTTGTGTAAAGAAGGAAGCCTTGTCTTACCACTACAATAAAAATGTCGCTAATTAACTGTAAAGTTTAAAATGGTTATCTACCTTTCACTGTTATAGAACTATTTTTTAAAATGTTAATTTTGTTTTTTAAAAATATTTTTAACTGTTAAAATATTTGATATTCATGGTGAAAAATGCATTGTAAATGTTTTATTTTGAGAAAAACATTGTTGTACAATTTGTAAAACAGAATTTTGTATTTTTGAATTGTTATAAAATTAATTTCGATTACGATTAACGATTTATTTATGCTACTCTAAGTCATGTATAAATTACTGATGAACATGTATGTGCATCGTGTTTACAACATATTTGAAAACAATTTAAACTAAATGAAGCTGTAAAACAAATCTAAATAAAAATTTTCAGAATTGAATATTTGCAGCAAAAATTGATATTGATAAAAAATGAATTTAACAATTAAAGCTCAATGAACAATGAGTTCTACTTTTAGAAGATTAACGGACAGTTAAAACTTAGAGAATGTATTCATGTGATTCACCCTTTTGATAGTTATAGAAAAAAAAAACATTTTTGATAGTTAAAATTCTTTGTTGGCAGTTTGAAATCAAAGGAAACACTTGTTTTAGAGCAATGTTTATTACAGCGAAAACAATTTTAGAGAGTACAAAATTTGTTGAAAGTTTAAATTCCATAAAAAAAACCTTTTTAGAGTAAAAATTGCAACAGTTTAAACCAATAGAAAATATGTGGTTAGTATTTTTCAAATAATAACTTTAAATGCATCTGTTTTTTTTAAATGTACAAATTTGTTGATCGTTAAAACAAAAACAAAAATTTATTTAGGGTTGACAGTCGAAGAGTAAAAAAATCTTCAGGCTCTGATTGGATGCTAGATGGTTGCTATGGAAACCAATCAGAACGTTTCAATGCTGGATGTGGCTTGCAAACCTCTCGCGTAGCTCTGTTCTAAGAGCGCTTAAATCAATCACATAATAATCAATCATGTATTTAATCAATCATACAATAATCAATCACACAATAATCAATCATGTATTTAATCAATCACACAATAATCAATCATGTATTTAATCAATCATACAATAATCAATCACATAATAATCAATCATGTATTTAATCAATCATACAATAATCAATCACACAATAATCAATCATGTATTTAATCAATCACACAATAATCAATCATGTATTTAATCAATCATACAATAATCAATCACACAATAATCAATCATGTATTTAATCAATCATACAATAATCAATCACACAATTATCAATCATGTATTTAATCAATCATACAATAATCAATCACAGAATAATCAATCATGTATTAATCAAGCACACAATAATCAATCATACAATAAGCAATCATGTATTTAATCAATCATTCAAAAATCAAGCACACATTAATCAATCATACAATTTTGAATAATCATCTGTTATGTATTTAAAAGATCACATAATATCAATCACACAATAAATAATCATGTATTTAATCAATTACACAATAATCAATCATGTTTTAATTCATCACACAATAATCTTGTATTAAATTTATCACACGCTAATCTATCAATAATCCAATGTGTAATAGAGCTATATGCATGCCTCTTATTTTCGAATAACTTATTGTCGAATTTTTGTTGATTTGTCAAACTTGCGAAAACATGAAAAATCATTTTTCAAAAATAAAATAGCGATACTTTTCCTAAAAGGATGATGCTGATTTAAAAAACGTAACATATTTACTTGATATTTCAACTGGCAAATTAAAACAATTTCGGAATTTCGGAACAACCCTCAATGTGAGACTCACTAATTGAAGACACAAACTTGAGACTCGTTGAAAACAATTTCTGACGTTTTAATAAATTTTAATGACATTTTTTTTCTTTTAATTAATTTTTATTTAAAAATGTAAATCATTCCTTGACACTTTATCTCACTTTTGCTAGTATTTATTATTAGTTCTGTTTGCATGTATAATAAATGTTTTGAACTATATTCCATGCTTTATCGCAATATTAATTATTGTATTAAAATTAATACATTGCTAACATTCCAATCCTGAAATTAAAAACACATTATTATCTAATAAATTATTATCTAACACATTATTTTCTAATAAAGATACTGCTATGAACTGAAAGAAAGATAAATAATGTGAATTTTTTGGGGGGAATTCAATTTAATGTCCATACAATTGAGCGGAATAATTTACCTTTTTCTATTTTTTGATTCCGTTTTTTTTACGGTAAAAACTTTTGTTCCATGTTTCCATATTTTTAAATTTATTATTTTTATAGCATATTGTATTTCCATTATTATTATGTTGTACTGTTTTTTTTTTAAAATTCAGTTTATGAAGCACTCTCATTCCATTCTGTTTATGATGTACGGTCATTCCATTCTGCTTAGATGTCCTGTTTACTGTTTATGATGGCCTGTTTCCACTCTGTTTCCATGTATGCTATAATGCTACACGCTCAAAAAATCATTACATAACTTATACACATGTTGATCAAGTTTTGAAAAAAAAATTCCTAATTATCTAATTATGAGCCTCTGTAATTTAACAAATTATATTTACTGAAATAAAAAAAAATATTTGAAGATTATCTTTGATTTACTTCTTTTTACTGAGACCTATCATTTTTTTATCCAACTGTAGTTGTGAGTTGAGAGAATAGGAAGATGATGGAGTGGGTAGGTGAGGGGTGCGGAGAGTGAAACAATATAGTGGATGAACAAAGAAGCAATCTACATATGATAAGAAATTCAAGTAAAGAACTTTAATGTGCTCAAATATTTTTCATTATTTGGTGTATTGCCTTATCAGTGGAAAATTGAAAAACTTTCTCGAAAAATGTTGAAGTTTTAAAAAAAAAACTCCCCCAAATTATAGGCTGGTCAAGGTGTTATAACATCAATATTTTATCAAAATTTTAGTTTCCATTTGTGAATGAAAAAGTAATATCAAAACGAGGGCACGATATGCAAAAATACAATAATTGAGAATTAGTTCTATACTATTTTGATTACTAGTAATTTTAATTCAAATGTTTCAAATGTTACTTAGTGCAGTAAACCAACATTAACATTATTACAGCAGTAAACCTACATTTACATTACATACTGCAGTAAACCAACATTCGCATTACTTACAGCAGTAAACCCACATTCACATTACAGCAGTAAACCCACATTCACATTACAGCAGTAAACCCACATTCACATTACAGTAGTAAACCCGCATTCACATTACTTACAGCAATAAAGCCGCATTCGCATTACTTACAGCAGTAAACCCACATTCACATTACAGCAGTAAACCCACATTCACATTACAGCAGTAAACCCACATTCACATTACAGTAGTAAACCCACATTCACATTACTTACAGCAATAAAGCCACATTCACATTACTTACTGCAGTAAACCATCATTCAGCTCAGTATAAAGACTGAAATGATGACCATTATTATCCTGAATATTCCGGTTGATGTGAATCTTTGATTGCAGCTTTCTCGCACTGTCATGTTGTAGTTTCATTTATATGAAATGTGTTGCAATGTTTTTATATTTTTGAATTTCTGTCAGTTCTTCCTGATGATGTATAGTTGATATATCAGACAAATCCCAAAAATGTGTATGCATCATTCATGGTGTGATGAGGGGGGGGGGGGGATGGGTGGAAGGGAAGGGAAGGGCAGTTGGGGACGGGTCTACATGGGAAGGGGTTTTTGACAAGTTCTATGGTAATTTGGTAGAAAACAAATAAGTCTAGTTTCGTGCTTTCAGTGGTAAAGACCGACGCACATGTTTTCGTATACAAATGTTTCATTACAATACTATGTTTGTAGATTTTGTTTACTGAAATACTTTAGGAAATATTCAAAATAATGTATCATAAAGGGAGGAAACTACTGTCTCTCACAACAGTGCGAGTGTTACTTG